TGCTCATCCTGTATCCCTGGATTAGGAGACCTTACAGGGTACTATCAGCCGGGCCAGCTGAGCCCAGGTTTTTTAGTGAGCTTGTTACTGCTCCCCTCTTCCTTTTTCATCCAGGCTTGGGACCAGCGAAGGCGGAGTTTAAACACAAGGTAATAAGACCAAATCCAAATAAATGGTGTGTGACGTTTCAATAACAGCGTTGTTACCATCTTCAGACACAAGATAGCAGATAAGTAGAAGATAGTTTGCTGAGAAACACACGATTCTTGCAAAAGTCCAACCCCACCAGCGAGTGCAAGTAACCAAACGGGGCTCTGGCACATTTGTAAGTGCAAAGTCGAACTGCTTTTCACTTGTGTAAATATGTGGTGCACTTACAGTAAAAGCAGTCGCCTACTTCTACCTACCATGATTATCATGGCTTGTTTTCGTGTTTCTCAGAAAACTATCTTCTTATCTGCTATCTTGTTTACACACTTGATAACAGTAACTATTTAAAACATGCTGTGGTAAAATTTCTCATTCAGTACTTTTGTCTGAAGATGGTAACAATGCTGTTACTGAAATGTCACACGCTATTTTTTTATTTGGATTTGGTCTTATTACCTTGTGTTTATTTTGCTATTTGAAATAACTTACAGAGGAAGAAAGATATGCTTGTGTTTTGATTTATCAGCTGGAATGCACAAATAGGGTTCTAGCCTAAAAACAAAACAACCAGATCATAATTTTTTGCTTTTTCATTTCCCAAATTTACTTTCTATCATCTGTTCTTCATGTCAGAGGCAGCCATTTATTTTAGAGCTAAGTCGGCCTGCTACTGAGTAGTGCTCCCAGTCTTGATGACAAAGGCAGACGCATTCTACTTCACTCAATCATGATGGTTGTCAACAGACACCATCAACAAGCTTTACAAGCTTGATACCCTGATATGATTGGGTGGAGATAAGATAGAAGAAGACTTTCTACCCACTACACTTATTCACTCATATAAAAATAGTGTTTGTAATTTTTCATGTTTAAAAATGTGTATTAAAGCAATCTTGTCCCTCACTAAAAGTAAGGTCTGTAGAGATAATATATTTGATGTAATTATTGAAAAGAAACACATTGCCAGTAAATATAATTGTTACAAATTTAATCGATTGATGTCAATTGAATTTATAAATTTAGTAGATGTGTAAAGAAGGTTGAAATCCTCTAAAGAATGTAAGTAATAGATTCGAAGCGTACGAGGATGCGTATCTTATAAGTTTTAATAAAGGCGAGCTTTCGGGTCAATGACCCTTCTACAGGACATCAAATCTAACTAAACTAATTTGGATCATTTTACTCATGCAGCCTTAAAATTGAAACGTAGCTTAATCGTGTAGTTTCTTGTGATTTTCCTACTTAGTATATTCAAAACACGCAGATATTTCTTACTATTACTTTACTCACTAATTTGCTAATACGTTTATTTTTCTTGTATATATGCTAATTTTTCTCAATATGGATATGTATATAAGATGCAAGTTTAGTTAGATTTGATGTCCTGTAGAAGGGTCATTGACCCGAAAGCTCGCCTTTATTAAAACTTATAAGATACGCATCCTCGTACGCTTCGAATCTATTACTTAGTAGATGTGGATCACAGAGCCTACCAGCAGCGGCTGCCCAACGAGCTCCTGTCCAACCTGGCCAACTCCCTCCTGGACAACACAGTGTTTGAAATAGTGCGGGGGCTGAGGGAGATACAGCTCATGACAGAGAGCCAGCTGTTTGAGCGGCACCAGAAGTCATTTAATGCCCAGCAGGGTAGGTCCTTTCATCTTGTCACGGAGAGCATGCCTGTAACAAAACAAGCATAAAATACCGGCAAAAATTTTTATTTGCTTGGTTAAAGAAGATTTCAGGCAAGCCCTTTTTCAGATGACTAAAATGTTTTATTTCTTGAAAATAAAGATACTTCGGCCAGTAAATCTTTTTACTGATTTACTGGCCGAAGTAACTTTAATTTCAAGAAATATGAATGCCGGCCAGGCAGCCTTTACGATAAAATGTTTTAGTAAACTGAAGAAGCACTTGTCCAAAAGCTTCTTCAACCAAGTAAATAAAGAGAGTTGCAGCATCTTATGCCTGTTTTGTAATTTGTCGAAATCTGCAATCCTCTGATAATTAATGCTTGAAAGTTACCTCCAATATATCCTTTGTTGTTTTATAATGCCCAAATTGATTTCTTCTTCCTCTACTTTCTTATCTCCACTCAATCACATCAGGGTATCAAGCTTGTAAAGCTTGTTGAAGGTGTCTGCTAGGGATGAGTAGAGCTCATCAATGGATAAGTCAATACCAAATTGTTTTTAATAGAGTTAGTTTGTGATTTATTGAATTTATTTAAGCCCATTTTCAAATGTGTGCGTGTTCAAACCCAATTTGAATATTTTTATTCCCAAGTTGTACTTGGAATTATTGCACTTAGAGACTAAAGCTATGTTTGGCACTCACTAGTTGTTCTGTCCACACATGGCGGAGTTCCATACTGTCAGGAAATGAGAATATTTTGATGGTAAAGAAGCTAGGAGATTTATCATAATGTACAGTCGCTTTTTAACTTGAGTTCTTTTAGTTTCTTTACATGTCTTTTACCATGCAAGTCTGTGACACATTATCATGGCCAGCCATTAGTAACTATGGTGGTGGTATCTTGTCCATTCCACGGAAAAGGTGGGTGCCATTGCCCCGTTAGTCAGCCACATTTCTGAGTTCCCTGATTAGTAACCATAAAATAGTTTCAAAACTTGATCTTGGTTTGATAAAGCACAATTTGGATTATAGATTATAGCTACAAGAAAATAAGACCTAATCCAAATGAATTAATAGTGTGTGACGTTTCGGCAACAGCATTGTTACCATCATCAGGCATAAGAATAAAAATTTGTCTGATGATGGTAACAACGCTGTTACCGAAACGTCACACACTATTTATTTGGTCTTATTGTCATAAATTTAATTCGACTTGATATTTTACCACATCTCTTTATGTCATCATTGGAATGTCTTGATCTTTCTCTTTCAAGATCTTTTTGTTAAAAAAAAAAAATTTGTACATTTTCAGCCTATCTCAAGCTTGAAAAATGCTGTCAATGTTAGGAAGAATCTTGTCTTTCTTTCTTCTTCAGAAACAAAAAAAACATTCTACCTATAAGATTAATGTGGCACCTATCTATAAGAATTGAAAGTGTTTACGCACAAATGTTTCTTTTAAATATAAAACAAATTTCTATAACATATATAAGTAGAATCATCCAATACAGTATTAGAACTCAAAGAAGCAGTCTGGTAGATTAAATTGGTGAAACCGCTGGGAGAGTTCACCACTGATGAGCCAAGCCCTCCCAATATATTTTTTCCATTGCAGTAAGGACAGTAGAATTTTTTTTTTTAATATTTAAAAGAAACATTCATGCTTAAACACTTCCATTTCTTAAATATAGGTGAACATTATCGCCTTATAATTCTACGGTATGTTTGAGAAATAACCTTTTGGACATTTAAAATAATCAAATAAGACTGAGAGGCCAGGCAACCAATCACCCTGCTAGATGAAAAAGACCTCCTTTGTACCATTAAGAATGGAAATTTACTGCTGAACATGACTGGTACAGAGCAGGAATGATAAGCATAAATTCTGTCCTCCCAAGAGTACAACAATCTTTGATTTCCAGACCTAAAGTCTAGCCATCTACGCACAATGACCTTCCAGAATGGTTGCAAGGTTTTCCCACTAAAGAGAAAATATCTTTATTTACGGGGCTGCTACCCAAAATAAATGATTTTTGAGCCCCGATGGACGCATAAAGCGAAATAGAGATAAGGCACAGTTGGAGGGGCCTGGGGATGGGTGGCCAGGGGATCATCGCCAGGTGAGGCCAGGAGAGCCAGGATGTAGAGGAGGATCAGAGGGGGGGGCAGGGTGGTGATCCGCAGAGTTCAGGGGGTGACGGGTTCAATGGTGTTGAGCCCAAGGGTGACCGTGGAAGGCAGACATACCGCAATGATTAAAGTATATGATTTTTAAGCCCACAAAAGGTGTAGCAATTAGACAAGCCGCAATACACTATATCAAAGTACCAAGGTTCTGCACGCAACACCAAGGCTGTTCAAAAAAGGTTAGATTCCCCAGGCAAGGGAGTTTTCCCACTAAGTACTAAGTGTCAAACTTGCAACCCCAAACTACATCATTGACTGTATTGGCTCATCCATTGATGAGAGCTCTACTCATCCCCACCAGACACCATCTCAATCTCTACAGGTTTGATATCCTGATATGATTGTTGAATGGAGTTAAGAAAGAAGATGGTTAATCTATCAAATATTCAATTTAAATTAAACACAAGGTAATAAGACCAAGTCCAAATAAATAAATAGTGTATGACGTTTCGGTAACAGCATTGTTACCATCTTCAGACAAAAGTACTGAATGTACTTGAATACTTAAATGATTCATTCAGTACTTTTGTCTGAAGATGGTAACAACGCTGAAACGTCACACACTATTTATTTATTTGGATTTGGTCTTATTACCTTGTGTTTATAATCTACTAGCCAAATGACCCGGGCAACGCCCGGGTTTTACCAGATTAAATGTTTTTATTCAAATACTATTCGTTACAATTATAAATTGGAGCCGTGGATGTCGCTCTTGTGAAACGTCCCGCTCCAAAATTTACATGTACATTAGGTCAGCTGGTATTACCCCCCCATTTTCACCGCTAGAGGCGCGAGCGAAAGAGCATATTTGCAAATAACACGACGGATATTCGGGATAGAGACCTGAAATTTTCACTAAGAGTTTTTCCAGATTCTACTTTATATACTGTTAAAATATCAGTCAGATTAGTTACGTATTGTGGACGTGTATAGTTGACAAACATACATACATACATACGCTGACTTTTATATATATAGGGATAATAATATAGATGAGTTATAAAAATTGTAAAAAAAAAAAAAAAAAATGCATCGGCCGGGAATCAAACCCAGGCCGCCCGCGTGGCAGGCGAGCATTCTACCACTGAAATAAAACAACACAAAGCAATAACGCGCCATCTATACATATAAAACAAAATGATTTAAAAGCGCGAATGTTTCTTTTATACATAAAACGAACTTCTACTGTCCTTACTGCGATGAAAAAATATATTGGGAGGGCTTGGCTCATCAGTGGTGAACCCTCCCAGCGGTTTCGCCAATTTAATCCACCAGACCGCTTCTCAGAGCTCTAATACTGTATTGGATCATTCTGCTTTTATATGCTACACTGAAGGATGGAATCTTAGAAATGGTTTTCAAGCAAACTATGGACATAAGCTTATAGGACAGTAGAACTACATTCAAATATTTGCTTCGAGCAATGCTCTTCAGCAAACTATAAAGACAAGGCCAGTTAGAAATAAAACAACACAAAGCAATAACGCGCCATCTATACATATAAAACAAAATGATTTAAAAGCGCGAATGTTTCTTTTATACATAAAACAAACTTCTACTGTCCTTACTGCGATGAAAAAATATATTGGGAGGGCTTGGCTCATCAGTGGTGAACCCTCCCAGCGGTTTCGCCAATTTAATCCACCAGACCGCTTCTCAGAGCTCTAATACTGTATTGGATCATTCTGCTTTTATATGCTACACTGAAGGATGGAATCTTAGAAATGGTTTTCAAGCAAACTATGGACATAAGCTTATAGGACTGTAGAACTACATTCAAATATTTGCTTCGAGCAATGCTCTTCAGCAAACTATAAAGACAAGGCCAGTTAGAAATAAAACAACACAAAGCAATAACGCGCCATCTATACATATAAAACAAAATGATTTAAAAGCGCGAATGTTTCTTTTATACATAAAACGAACTTCTACTGTCCTTACTGCGATGAAAAAATATATTGGGAGGGCTTGGCTCATCAGTGGTGAACCCTCCCAGCGGTTTCGCCAATTTAATCCACCAGACCGCTTCTCAGAGCTCTAAAACTGTATTGGATCATTCTGATGAGCCAAGCCCTCCCAATATATTTTTTCATCGCAGTAAGGACAGTAGAAGTTCGTTTTATGTATAAAAGAAACATTCGCACTTTTAAATCATTTTGTTTTATATGTATAGATGGCGCGTTATTGCTTTGTGTTGTTTTATTTCTAACTGGCCTTGTCTTTATAGTTTGCTGAAGAGCATTGCTCGAAGCAAATATTTGAATGTAGTTCTACTGTCCTATAAGCTTATGTCCATGTTTGCTTGAAAACCATTTCTAAGATTCCATCCTTCAGTGTAGCATATAAAAGCAGAATGATCCAATACAGTATTAGAGCTCTGAGAAGCGGTCTGGTGGATTAAATTGGCGAAACCGCTGGGAGGGTTCACCACTGATGAGCCAAGCCCTCCCAATATATTTTTTCATCGCAGTAAGGACAGTAGAAGTTCGTTTTATGTATAAAAGAAACATTCGCGCTTTTAAATCATTTTGTTTTATATTCTACCACTGAACCACCGATGCTTATAAGAAATGGCCCTATTTGGGTATTTATTCCATTCACAAAAGCAAACGATGACAGAATTGTTGATGACTGATACTTGTATTTATAAATATGTTAGCATAATGAATTAGTCAGTATTCCCATGGTCTCCAGCGAAGAGGTGTGAATTGACTTTTTGAAAATATACATAATTATAAAGATAGAAGCTTCTATAGAAATAACTAAAATAAGCCGAAATAGCTCAGTTAGGAGAGCGTTAGACTGAAGATCTAAAGGTCCCTGGTTCGATCCCGGGTTTCGGCATCTTTTTTTAATTTTTAAATTTTTACTTACCGTAACTTGACATGTGACTTAACGTGACAGAATTGTGCATGACTCTGATAACTGTATATATTAACTAGCCGAATGACCCGGGCAACGCCCGGGGTTTACCCGATTAAATGCTTTTATTAAAATACTATTCGTTACAATTATAAATTGGCGCCGTGGATGTCATTCTTGTATAATATATAAATGAGTTTTAAGAATTGTAAAAAAAAAAAAAAATGCATCGGCCGGGAATCGAACCCAGGGCGCCCGCGTGGCAGGCGAGCATTCTACCACTGAACCAAAAGCAAACGGTGACAGAAGTGTCTCGCGCATTGGCGGCGCCATTGTAGCGAACCAATAGGAGAGCGCCATTCCAAAAAAAGCGAGTGGGGGGGGGGGGGGGGGCATGATGGGGGGCAAAGGTGGCGTGATCGTAGCCAACCAATAGGAGGGCGCCATTCCAAAAAAAAAGCAAATCGTGACAGAGATGAGGAATGACGCTCGTAACTGTATATATAATAATCCAAATTGTGCCTTATCATTAATTTAAATAAAGATAATTGAACAGCAGACCCTTCCACCGACCTCCAATCAGTATCCTAATTATGGTGACATGTTGATGTGAGTGAGTATTCTATTCTGATGATGGCAGTAACAATGCTGGTGGTATCAAAATGACAGGTTCTTATTTTTCTTATCTCCACACTGAGTGAAGTAGAATGCCTTTGTCATTAAGACTGGGAGCACTACTCAGTGGCAGGCTGACTTAGCTCCAAAAGAAATGGCCGCCTCTGACATGAGGAATAGACGCCATTTGAAGCCCCTCCTAACATGGAGTACAGACTCATCCTGTATCCCTGGATTAGGAGCCCTTACAGGGTACTATCAGCATGGCCAGCTGAACCCAGGTTTTTTAGTGAGCTTGTTACTGCTCCCCCTCCTCCTTTTTCATCCGGGCTTGGGACTGGCAACAAAAATGGCAGGTGGAATATGTTACCTCTTAATTCATTTCTAATAATCCCATGTATTAATGTTTAAGGTGAAATCAAACATAAGGCTTCCATGGATAAGTTTCTCTTTAAATAATTCAATCAGTATCTCTAGCTTCTGAATATGACAGCCCTACATGAGAGCTCTCATCTTCAGAAGCTAGAGATACGAATTGAATTATTTAAAAAGAAACTTGGGGGTCGGTGGAAGGATGGTCTAAACCATTTGGTTTTGACCGCTACGACTCCGGTTCAATTCCCGTATTGGGCACTTTTTTCTGTAAAAAAAAAAAAATCTCCAATGGCCCTCGATTCTTGCAAAAGTTCAACCCCACCAGCAAGTGCAAGTAACCAAATGGGGCTCTGGCACATTTGTAAGTGCAAAGTCGAACTGCTTTTCACGCGTGTAGATATGTGATGCGCTTACAGTAAAAGCAGTCGCCTACTTCTACCCACCATGATTATCATGGCCTAATCCACATGTACTAGGGATAAGCAAAAAAAGAAACTTATTCCTGGAAGCCTTATGTTTGATTTCACTTTAAATATGTTACCTTGTAATATTCCCAATTCATGCTTTAAACTTTACCTCTGTGTTGTTATACTTTTGTTTATTAAATAAAGAGGATCCCATGGGTGTGTAGCCAAACAGAAGAAACTGATGAAGAAACACCAGGAGACTCTGGGCCAGAATCCTCCTCCAACCCTTAAGTCCCAATTGGACAAGGAACTAGAGGTGATGACTCCAGCCCATCAATCTTTAACATAGGACACTCATTGTACCTTTTAGCATGTATATCAGGGGGTCGGTGGAACAATGATCTAAACCATTGATTTTTGACCGTTACATCCCGGGTTCGAATCCTGTATTGGACACTTTTTTTTCTGATCTAAAAAAATAAAAAAATGCTCCAATGGCCCCCGATTCTTGCAGAGTACCCACCATCTTCTTCTTTCTTATTTCCACTCAATCATATTAGGGTATCAAGCTTTGACAACCATCATGACTGGGTGAAGTAGAATGCGTCTGCCTTTGTCATTAAGACTGGGAGCACTACTCATTGGCAGGCCGACTTAGCTCCAAAAGAAATGATCGCCTCTGACATGAGGAACAGACGCCATGTGCAGCTGCTCCTAACATGGAGTACAAACGCTGCTCATCCTGTACCCCTGGAGACCTTACAAGGTACTATCAGCCGGGCCAGCTGAGCCCAGGTTTTTTAACGAGCTTGTTACTGCTCCCCCTCCTCAGTTTATTTATTTGGATTTGGTCTTATTACCTTGTGTTTAAAATGAAAACTGTCCTTTATAGAGAGGTGTCCTCTAGTGTGAATGTCCTCTCATGGAGGTTGTTCTACTGTACTTGGTTTTACTTCTTTGGTATCAGGCATCTGATATATATCTGTCATATAATAATACCACTTTTTGAATCTTAATCTGAAAAAATCATTGAAATATATAAAATATATATTAAAAATAAAGAAGGTATCTCCTGACCACAAGCACATGTGCTCTTTATTTTTAACATCAACACCTGACCCACTTATCTTTTATTTTTTTCTATTGTTTTTTCATGTGTTAAGCGTCTTTACGCAAATTTGGCCTTAAAATCCGGGCTTGGGACTGGCGGAGTTTCAATAAGTGATAAAATGATAAGACAACAGGTTATATCTAGTGTAAATATCCTGACTGCTCACATGCGAATTTTAGATAGGTAGAACGATATGTATATATATATTGTGGAACAAGCCTAAATCAACCTTTAGTTGGTTTTTGTTCCCCTAGATGGCATTCTGCTATCTAAAATGTTCTAGTGAGCAGTCAGGATATGTCTTTATTGTTTGTTTTTAATATCAACACCTGACCTTTTCTATTTTTAAAATTATTTCTTCACACAAATATATATATATATATATGTGAAAAAACAATAGAAAAAAATAAAAGATAAGTGGGTCAGGTGTTGATATTAAAAATAAAGAAGGCATCTCCTGACCACAAGCACATGTGCTTTTTAGATGGCAGAGCGCCATCTAGTGGAGTAAAAATAAACTAAACGTTTATTTAGCTTACTCCGAGATATTTGGCCAACCCAATTTCTTGATAAATCAAGAAAAGCCATCCACGAACGCGTTTCGCGCTGTTGGCGCTCGTCAGCGTGGAGAAGGCTGTAACCATTGCGACCAAAAATATTTTTTTGGACCCAATGGCTTCCCGAGAAATCAAGAAATGGGTATTTAAGGCCAAATTTATTAAAAAGCACATGTGCT